CCCCCTCTGGGCTGCATAGTGTCTCTGGCCTCCGTCTCGCGACCTGGAACACTTAAGGTCCTTTTGGATCGGCTCGCGGGCGCCATGAAAGTCGAGCCGCCAAACGAGGCCGAACATTATCTATGCGCGCTGCTCCAGGTACTGCTGCTCTCCAAGAGACCCACGGGCACGAAGGGGATTGTGTGGCGCTCCAAGGGGGCTCCCCTCATCGCGGAATCTTTGGGTCTTTCGACGAGGGGGCGCATGTCCGCGCTGGGGTCGTCATGATCATCCACCCCACCATCCTTCACACAATGCGAAACCTCCAACACTCGGTAGTGATTCCAGGGGGGATTCACAGTATTCGGGCTTCTGTGGGCGACGATGAGATCAGCACCACCAGCGCTCACATAGATCCCAAACTTTCGAGAGTAGAGCAGCAAAACATTTTAAGAGCACTCCGCCAGGCTATTTTGCCGCCGGCTCAGGAGCAGACGGTCGTGCTAGGCGATTTCAACTTCTCCTTGCCTGGCGAAGGCATTCATTGCGTCGCAGGGGAGATTTGCCAGCCTGCGTCAGACGGCATCTCCCGCTTCTTCGAGACGCTCTTCCCCGACATGATTAAGGTGCTGCAGCCTTCCCCCACTCATCGTCTTACGTCTATTGTTCGCGGCCAATCATCAGTCAAAGCTCTGTTGAGACTTGATAGAATTTTCGCGAACTCATGCGCAGCCGACATGCTCGACTATCACCCCCCCTGGGACATTGCGGGGCGTTTGCGACAAGAGGGCCCCGGGCGACCACTGCCCCGTCTACCCCCCCCTTCGCGCTGCTGTCTCCGATGGGAAGGTCTCGGTGCCATCTTGGCTAGCCGAGCGCAAGCTCTACCCCGCTGCGCTTCATCATATCATTGCCGACCTCGATTTCTCGAAAGACTTGCCCGCATGAGTGCAGGATATCAAACTGCGCATGCATCTGGCAGCCTCCAGAGTCAATCGACAATCACGGCACTTTCCGCCCGAATCTGCATCGCAGCACATGTCCTGGCTGTTCGCAGCGAATAGGGCCATGCACGCTGGCAAGGCCTGCCTTTAGCATCACCCCGGAGCTTGCCGACGTCATCGATCCGCGCGCTGTCCAGTGGGTCGATAGGCAGGGCTTCCACGACTAAATGCGGGAAGTGGCCAGGGGTGGACTCGAGGGGGAATGGCGGGAAGTGATGGGCGAATTCGGTTCGCAGGGCCTCCGCGAGGCGTGGGCGTTGAAACCTCAACGCCAGGCGCAGACCCGGGCACCTTACAGTCGGCGAGTGACCATGGCAGGCACACGTGCGCCACGCGGGTCTCATGTTCCTACTCTCGAAGCTGGCGTTGGCGCTCTCTGCCACCACTGGGCCCGCGTTCACGAAGAAGCCCCAACGTCTCCCGAGACCGCCAATGAGCTCGACCCGTGCATCCCCAGCGTCGACCCCGCCGTGAGCTGGAACACGTCCTGGGAAAGGTTCGAGGTATTGGTCTCTCGTTTTCGTGATTGCGCTCCTGGTCCTGATGGGCTTTGCTATTCCGCTTGGAAAAAAGGTGGCACCATTCGCGGTTGGCGCCCTCTACGACCTCCTCCAGCACTCGCAGACTGGAGCCGCTCTAGGCCCCGTGCCCAAAGAAAGCGCGATGGTCTTCACCCCCAGAAGCTCCCACGGGGAAGACCTCGTTAGCTTCTGGAAGGCCCCCGACGAGCTGCGCCCCATCACCCTGAGCAACAGCAAGCGACGCCAAGATATTGGGGTATGCCATCAATCGCTCGTCGGCCGACCAGTGTGAGCTGGGCGCCTCGCCCATCCAGAATGGTTTCGCGCGGGCTCGGGAGATGGCCGACGACATTTTCAAACTCGAGCGCAACGTGTCCCGACGTGGAGTCCTGCAGTGCATGAGGGAAGCTGGACGCGCTCACCCCCATGCCAAAGCTGCACTTCCGAGCCTGCCCCACGCCTGGATTATGTTTGTTCTGCGGGCCATGGGTGTTCCCGAAGCCATGTTGGCTGCGATCTCCGCGTCGTGCGCTGGCATGTCGGTGGAGATGGCCCTTGGGGGCCGCGAGATCCAGGGGGGGCCCATCCGCCGGGTAGTACGCCAAGGTTGCCCGATGTCAGGCAGTTTGTGCGTTCTTTCCCTGGGCGCAGCGTTGCGAAAGCTCGCGGGCCAGCTGCCTTCTCCGATGTCTGAGCTTGCCGCGCTTGCAGATGATTTGGCGTTCTTCTCTCAGGACTTGCATGTTTCTCTCCCCGTGCTCCTGCGGATGGTGGCCAACAGTGGTTTCGCCGCGGGCCTCATTCTCAACCTCGACAAGCGTGTCATTATTTTGCTATAGGACGGCCGCGAAGGAGGGGGTGGTGAGGAGGTTCGCCGAGCACGGGGTAAGGGTCCGCAGTTTCATGGCTCAGAGCTGGGGGACATATTTGGGCATTGCTCTGGGAGGCGATGGTTGGGGCAGATCTTGGGTAGCCCCTGTTGCTGAACATACTACCAGGTGCCGTCTCATGCGTTGAATTGGGGGGTGGGTTGGGCCCTTCCAAGCTCAACGGCGATGCCGAGAGGAGCGAGCTCCAGCGGTTGACCGCCTGCCCTCGCTACGCCATCCCGAATTCCATGTTGCAGCAGCTCGGCGACGTCCTGTCGCCAGGCAGCAGTGCGCGCGCGCTGGAGCACGAGGCCCGCGCCGCTCGTCATCGCAACGATGTGCGCTCTCCCAGGCTCTGGGGCTGCAAGCAGGAGATTGAGGAGGTCCTGGAGAGTGATGGGGCGATTCTGGGCTGGAGGGCCAACAATTTCCATCGCCGCTCGCCCCTCTTTCACAACGTTGCCGAGTGCGGTTTTATCTGGTCGCTGCCACCCACGGTCCGTGACAGACCATGGGAGAGGGGGTTCTCGCGTGCCCCGGGATTCACGTGGAGATGGCATGGGCCTTCCTGGAGTTGTTTCCGCTGCCCTCCTTGCAGGAAACCTTAGGTCGCAAGCTACGATGCTGGTGGCCACGCCTGACCGAAGACGAGGTCTCTCTCTCCCCCTCCTCCGCCCGAGGATCACGGGTGCCAAGCTCCCGTGCTTCATGGGGGTCAGTCTGCTGAGATGCACGCGCAGTGCAGCGAGCGCGTCGCGTCGTTATCGCCAAGCGAACATATTATGCAGAATTTGATGTTCTGATAATGGCGATATCCTACATTATTTTGTTTGCCCCCATGCCGTTCCCGTTATGAGGCGCCTCCTTCCCTCTCTTCCTGCCTGGTGGGGTTGCAGCGATCTTCGAGCCTGCATCGATCTCTGTTCTCTGCCTTTCGAGAATGCCGATGCTATTCTCGCCGCTGCTGCTGCTGCCGGTCTGTCGGTTGCAAGTCTAAGCAACCTCCGTGCTCGTCAGTTGCAGCCCCGGCCGTTGGGGGTAAAGTTCCGCGAGTGTCGGCTCCGACTGCGCGCGAAGCGCAGTGCCGCTGCAAGGGCGCTGGCGCAGTGAGGGTGCGTCCAGCGGAAGACATCGGTGCGCCTCAGGGGCTGGGTCTCTTCTTCCTCAAGTTGGCATGTGGTGACGTTTACCCGGCCGGCCACTGCTGCGCATTTCCGCTTTAGTGCCTCTTTGGGATTGACGGCGGGTTTCTGGATAGCCCCCGTGAGGAGAGGCGGATTTGTTGCTTGAGCGGTGTCTGTTGCCTGTGGCTTCGTTTGCCGTAGTGGAAAAAAACATGTGCCCCGTCCTTTCCCACGCCTCCCAGTTATGTCGCCCCTCTCGTCTGCCTGGCAGCTGGGGGGTAAGGCCCTCCACGTTATCCCCATTTTTCTCAGAACCACAATTGTCCGATGTCCTCGGTAATGTCGGCTGTCTGGGTTTCCGCATCGTTGCGGGCAGTTTCGCATGCTCAGCTTGTGTCAGTTTTTTCCTTAAGCTGGCTGCCCAATCCAAGCCTTCGTCGCTAATGGCGAACGCCAGATCTTTTATAGTTGCCACCCCTGGTGGCAAAGATACATCGCCCTCCAAGCGTTGATCAGGCACTACAGCTGGCTGGCGCAAATTTCCCGCGCCTAAAGTCGAAGACGAACAGTTTTAACGCAAAGTTGAACGTGGCTTCCTGAGTCTCCGCTCGTTCACCCGTTACTCATTGCTCTATTTCTAGATTCTCCCATGGGCGTGCCGACGCCAGCCGTGCCCAAGCCGATGTTGGTTGTCTTCGTGTGTTTTCTGCGCGCGCAGTGTGTCCCCCGTCCCTACATGCAGTCTGCAACGCATAGTGCACGACAGGCCGATTTCAACGCAAGACTCTCGATTGTCCATGTCGCTCCGAGACCAGAAGGGGGGCTCGCTTCTGCACATCGTGAAATTTTCTCGCGTCGCTTGCCCGTTCCGCGCCCGTTTTCCCGCGTTTCCCCCATCTCGCCCAGCATGCTCGCAATATTGTTTGCATGCGTCCTTTCTCTCGGTTCATGTCGTGAGGGGGTCAGAAGGAGGTCGGTCCGTCTTTTTGCAGCTGGATGCTGCTTGCTTTCGCCAATCGGTCAGGCGGGCCCCGCAACTCGCCCCTCTCGTCGTCGTCGCCACAGCCATGCCTTCCTGAAACCCCAGCGCTCCTCCTCGGTCGTCTCGCTTTCCTCGTCCCCTCTCGTCGCCTGCACCGTTGTCGTCCTCCTTCTGCGTGCTCGTCGCGTTGCTAAGGCAAATTCTGCGACCGATGTGCCAGGAGGGGACGAAAAACCCCTCCTGCCATATACCCTAACTTCGCGCATGGCCTCCCAGGATTGGGATGCGTTGCCCTTGTACGATGAGCCTTCTTCGCAAGCGGATTTGCCCTTGCGATCCCTAGTCAGCTGCGCATTGGCTGCCGAGACTGTCTGCTGCGTTGACACATCGCGCGCTTTCTACGAACAAGAAACGACATCAATCCAGAAACCCGTGCGGATCGACAAGTTATCATCCCTCCGCCTTCCCCCTTTGTTTGTGCGCCCCGCCGCCCCGCCCCCCTTGGTGGCCCCCCACGCGAGGCTACGGCAAGGATCCCGCTGAGATCGCGAAGAGCGCGATCCATCACGCGAGGACCGCGGCGAGGAGAGGGAGGAGGTGCTGGAGGAGGCGGAGGATGATGATGAGGTTCGAGTATGCTTTTCACCGGTTTCCGTGTCTTGTTGGGATCTGTTTTGGACGCTGGAGCCATCAAACATCGATCCAGGATGAATGAATTGGCGGAGATGAAACGTGGGAAAGGTCTGGGAATAATGTTTGGCCATATTCTGGCCAGGACCAAGCATGAGGCGAACGCAGGAGGATGTGGAAAATGAGGGGGGTTCAGCGCAGCATGGTATCGAGGAGGGGGAGGAGCAGCAACAGCAACAGCAGGGGATCTCTGCGTACCTTGTCTCTTTCTCCCTATTTCCTTATTGGTGCATGTATACATGAACATGTTTGCATATCTCCTTCTGTATACACATCTATATTTATATACAGATGTGTACACACATCAAAGTGAGGGAGCCGAGCGGTCATTCACTGTGCCTGGGTGCGTGGTTCAAGTAAGTGAGGGTATGCGGTGCGGATTGTTGCTGTGCTTGTTGTTGTCGTTGTTGTTGTTGTTTTTGTTGTTTGTGATGTTGCTGTTGTTGTTGATGTCGTCGTTGGTGCCGTTGCTGTTGTTGATGTTGTCTGTGATGGTTTTGTTGTTGTTGGTGGTGGTGGTGTTGTTGTGGTTGTTGCTGTTGGTGTTGTTGGTGGTGGTTGTGTTGAACTTTCACTTCTGGAGAATGATTATTGTTGATCCCCCTCCTCCGGTGACCACTGTTTTTCCCCATATCCTGAGATGGGGTTCGTGTTATTACTCGGACGACGCCGACCCCAGAGAGACCTAGTCATACTCAGACTTGCAAGGGGGGCCGCCAGGGGGGTTTTCACGGGGCCGTTCGCAGCCAGTGTGTCGGGATGTCTCAGGCGGTTTGCTCGTTTTCATGCCCAAACATCCTTTGCTGTCAGAGCAGATTGTGAGGATGTCTCAGGCGGGGCGCTGGCTTCAGCACCCCAAAGGGGAGCCGCCAGGGGTGTTTTCACGGGCCACTTCGCGGCCAGTTTGTGGGGATGTCTCAGGCGGTCTGTTCGTTCTCATGCCCAACATCCTTTGCTTTCAGAGCATATTGTGAGGATGCCTCAGGCGGGGCGCTGGTTTCAGCACCCCAAAGGGGAGCCGCCAGAGGGAAGTTTCACGAGCCCGTTCGCGGCCAGTTTGCGGGGATGTCTCAGGCGATTTGCTCGTTTTCATGCCCAACATCCTTGGCTGTCAGAGCAGATTGTGAGGATGTCTCGGGCGGGGCGCTGGCTTCAGCACCCCAAAGGGGAGGAGCCGCGAGGGGGTGTTTTCACGGGCCTGTTCGCAGCCAGGTTGCCGGGGTTGTCTCAGGCGGTTTGCTCGTTTTCATGCCCAACACCCTTGGCTTTAAGAGCAGCAGGTTGTGAGGATGTCTCAGGCGGGGCGCTGGTTGCAGCACCCCTAAGGGGGAGCCGCCAGAGGGTGTTTTCACGGGCCACTTCGCGGCCAGTTTGTGGGGATGTCTCAAGCGGTTTGTTCGTTGTCATGCCCAACGTCCTCAGCTTTCAGAGCAGAATTTGAGGACGTCTCAAGGAGGCGCTGGTTTCAGCACCCCTAAAAGGAGCCGCCAGGGGGTAGGACACTGGCCCGTTCGCGGCCAGTTTGTGGGGATGTCTCAGGTGGTTTGCTCGTTCTCATGCCCAACATCCTTGGTTTTCAGAGCAGATGGCTGTTTGCCTGCGCGGGCGTTGAACTTCGAGAGCCCATGCTGGGCTTCGAAGCCCGATGCCAAGTGCGGGCGGCCAGAGCCGCAGCGCAAACCGCAAGGGTGCCATGTGTAGCACTTCAGCGCTGCTCCTTGGGTGCTTTGGACGCGGCGCCGTTAGAACCCTTAGCCTTCGAAACACATCGAGCATCTTTATCCCGTCGAAGCGTAGTCCGGTAGGAATCATCATTGACGCAGTCTTGGCTCGAAGCGGAGGTCGCCCATCGGACCCAGCATCTCTATATTCACTGAACGCAGTCTCACTTCTCCGGTCGGAAACGCCCGTGCCTAGCACGGCGCCCGCGGACGGGGGGAAGACAGCGAGGTCTCCAAGGCGCTGGGCGCGGTTCCGCCGACATTCGGCAGGTCTTCCCGCGAATTGCTTTCGGAACAGCACCAGGGAGTGCAAATCAAGGCTCGACCACTGCGGCGCCCTCGGGGGCAACCGCTGCCGCTGTCAGCGCAGACGCGCGTTTTGCTCGGGCGCTCGACAGCCTTCTGGCATGGCTGGATTCCGTGAGCGGAGCTTCGACTGTCGGAGCAAGTTGCGCAGATCTGGGCATCTTCGCGGCGGCGGAGTTGGGCCTGCCTGTCGCCCGCGGCGACAGAGGCGGCCGTATCTCAATTGCTGGATGGCGGCGCCGTTTACGAGACGATCGAGAACCATATCCAGGCGCGGGAAGGGCACGGTTCTCATTCCAGCGCGGCTGCGAACGGAGGCGACGGCGCCAATGGGGCGACGCGCGTGACATCGCGGAAAAGGGGGCCGACCAAGAGTCCGACATGGCACAGCTGGCAGACATGAGGTCGCAGACGTACTGATTCGCGTCGCGCCCCTGGCCCTTCGCCCCGATGCCAAGCGCAGAGCGTTTCTTCTTGCGTTGCCAGCTAGGCCCGGCGCCAAGTGCGGACGGCCTAAGCCGAGGCGCAAACCGCGAGGGTGCCATTTGTAGCACTTGCCTTTTGCACGTCATGTGCCTGCGACTTCTGTTTGCGTTGCCAGCTAGGCCCGATGCGAAGTGCTGGCGTATAAACCTGAGTTGCAGGTCGCGAGGTGCCTCTTGAATCACTTGTCATTCGTACTCCCCCTGGTTCTTCGGGCGCGGCGCCGAGGGAATTCTTGGCCCTGGCACAAAAAAACAGATGCGCGGGCATATGCATGTCAGTGAACGCGCGCGCGGTGGATGTGCAGCCGCGCTGCGCGGACGTGTGCTCGCCGCTCACGCGGGCGCGCTCGTGGAGCAAACCAAATGCTCGCCGTGGCACTATCCCACAATCTGATATGCACCTATGGCCTTGTGTGGCTAAGCGTTCGGTGCACAGATCCCACTGCCAACAATCCGAAAATGCATGCGCATTACCACAGGCTGAGGAAGGCGCGGCCTGGCAGCTGAGGGGGGGGAATGAATCGGAGGCCCATGTTCAATCATGCTCAAAGCTCATTCTGATTCATACTCACTCGCATTCGGATTCACTTGTCTTAGTCGGCCCTGTCGCCCATGTGGGCGCGCGATTATAGTCAAGCGCTCATGAACAGACGCTCACCATGACATGACATAAAGCATGAGATGCACATATGGGCGTGGCCCCCATCGCTGCCCGTCGTGGCCCCGTTGCATCCCTTCGTGGCCCCCTCGCTGCCCTTCGTGGCCCCATATATGTATGCCCTTCGTGGCCCCCGCTCGTTCGCGCCGGTGGTGGCCCCATGTGCGTCTGTCGTACGCGGCCCAGTTGGTACTTGCAGTGGCCCCATCGATGCCTTCTGTGGCCTCGCATTATCTGCCCTTCGTGGCCCCCGCTCTTTCGCGCTCTTCGTGGCCCCATACGTATTCCCTTCGTGTCCCCGCTGTTGCCCTTCGTGGCCTACTTCGTGTCCTTGTGGCCCTGCTGTCGTTCGCTTTCGCTCTCGCTTTCGTTCGTCGTCGTCGTCGCCGTCGTCGCCGTCGCCGTCGTCGTCGACGTCGTCGTCGTCGTCGTCGTGGTCGGTCCCCTGTCCGTCCCTGTCCGGGGTCGGGTCGACGGTCCGCGGCCGCCCCGCCGATCAGCGCTGCCGCTGGCCGGGCCGACGGTCCGCGGCCGCCCCGCCGGTTGCCGGGGCCCGGCCTGCAGGGAAGAAAGGTATACCCCCCAGAAGGAGTTCAATCGAAAACGAAGAGGGCGGGTATCGAGGGTTTGGGACATTGGCGTTATTGGACACTCGAGCAGATACGGGCGAACAGTCTCAAAATAAGTGTTGTCGTTGCTGTTGTTGTTGTTGTTGTTGTTGTTGTTGTTGTAGTTGTTGTTGTTGTTGTCGTTGTTGTTGTTGTTGTTGCTGTTGCTGCTGCTGCTGCTGTTGCTGCTGCTGCTGCTGTTGTTGTTGTTGTTGAACATTATTACTTCTAAAGAATAATTATTGTTGGGGCCCCTGGTGCGCGCCCCCCCCGCCGCGCCTAGGCCGCAGCCACATTTTCATCATTTTCGTGAGGAAGCCTCAGGTAAAACGATGTGATCCAGATCCGGTTGTTTTGTTGACGCCCGCTTTCCCTTGCAAAAAACACTATGAAATGACATTTCTTGTTCTAACATATCCAAACTTCAAGAATCCCTTGCAAAAAATAAGATAAAGTGGACATTCGCGCGCGCAAGACGAAATCCTTCCAGACGAAATCCTTCCAAAACCTTAGTTTTCGTAGCGATTTTAACATAAAGACATCAAACAACCAATGGTTTTTCAAAAAAAAATGACGAAATGTCATCCCGCGCGCTCTTGCGGATTCGTAGGAAACCCAACATTTTTTAAACATTTCTGTCAAACGGGCTTGTGCGAGCAACTTTTTCGAACTTCTGCAACAACGGTTGCGCACCTGCCAGGGCCATCATCCCTGTCAAATAATACCATGCGGGACACATTCGTTTTTTCTTCGCGCGCGCACGCCGTCGTCGTCGGCCGCGGGGCCCTGAATAGTAGCCACGGTCGTCCGCATGCCACGAAGTGAAGTGTCCGAACGTCATAGGGCGGGAAGCTGGGTGTGGGTGGTGGCGAAGAGTCGTTTGGAAATTTGGTAGAGCTTGAACCGGCCCCCCCACAAAGTGGGGGTATTGCCCGCCTCCTATGAAAACCCTGGCACTGGTGAGAACGGAGTGTCCCCACGTGCTAGTAATTGTTGTTGTTGTTGTTGTTGTTGTTGTTGTTGTTGAACATTATTACTTTAAAGAATAATTATTGTTGGGGCCCCTGGTGCACGACCTCCCCGCCGCGCCTAGGCCGCAGCCTCATTTTCATCATTTTCGTGAGGAAGTCTCAGGCAAAACGGGGGAGTCCGGATCCGGTTGTGTTGTTACGATCGGTTTTCCCTTGCAAAAAAATAAGCTAAAGTTGACATTTCTTGTTCTAATATAGCCAAACTTCAAGAATCCCTTGCAAAAAATATTGTTTCTATTTCTCCACCGCCCGCGTGTGCGTCTCAGTGCGTGCGTGCACGGAGCGCGCCAGAGCCGAGCTCACGAGCACGGCGTCGATGACATGCGTAAGCTTCGTGGCAGCAAGCCCGCCCTCAAGAGGGTGGACACCCAGGCAGCACGTGCCTGGATGCCTTGCTGCGGCCGCGTCGGCCAGAGTCTGCAAAGCAGGACGCCTCAAGAGGTCGATCCGGCCCAAAACACTCAGGAGTGCGAGCCTTCGATGACATGCGTAAGCTTCGTGGCAGCAAGCCCGCCCTCAAGAGGGTGGACACCCAGGCAGCACGTGCCTGGATGCCTTGCTGCGGCCGCGTCGGCCAGAGTCTGCAAAGCAGGATGCCTCAAGAGGTCGATCCGGCCCAAAACACTCAGGAGTGCGAGCCTTCCGGAGTCAAGGCACGCGTGCGCTCAAGAGCACACGTGTGCGCACCTTCCCCCAGGGACAGCAGGTGCCCCGCCCGCCTGGAAGAGCAGGTCCTCCAGGCGGGCCCCTGGATCAACATGTGACCCTCGACAGGGAGACAACATGTGCCGCACTGCCGACCTCGACCACCCGACGCTCAGGAGCTATCAGGAGGAAGGGGAGGGAGGAGGAAGCCAAAATTGGCAACGGACCCGTCTGCTAGCCCGCCGGTGCGTGCGCGCGCGTGGAAGCGAAACAAAGCTTCCGGCCTCCGGCCAGGTCATATTGTTTCTATTTCTCCACCGCCCGCGTGTGCGTCTCAGTGCGTGCGTGCACGGAGCGCGCCAGAGCCGAGCTCACGAGCACGGCGTCGATGACATGCGTAAGCTTCGTGGCAGCAAGCCCGCCCTCAAGAGGGTGGACACCCAGGCAGCACGTGCCTGGATGCCTTGCTGCGGCCGCGTCGGCCAGAGTCTGCAAAGCAGGATGCCTCAAGAGGTCGATCCGGCCCAAAACACTCAGGAGTGCGAGCCTTCCGGAGTCAAGGCACGCGTGCGCTCAAGAGCACACGTGTGCGCACCTTCCCCCAGGGACAGCAGGTGCCCCGCCCGCCTGGAAGAGCAGGTCCTCCAGGCGGGCCCCTGGATCAACATGTGACCCTCGACAGGGAGACAACATGTGCCGCACTGCCGACCAACATTCCCCAACCAAGTCTGAAAGCGGAACAGGCTCCAACTTTGCTCACGGGCTCCACGTTAGCTCGAGCAGCGTGTCCCTCCAAAGCAGCACGCACCGGCCCCAGACCACCTCACCGTAAGAGGCAAGGCGTAATAACATGCATAATGAATGAAACGTGGGATGTGTGAAGATGAATTTCTCTGGATAACTGCCCGGATTTCCGCCCATTGTCACCGCGTGCATGAACAGAGCTCTCCTACGAACGTGGCCGAAATCCGGCGGCGCCGCTTGACTGCGAACGGGGGTGCTTCGCAACTGCCTCGTCCACCAGCTGGCCGATGCATTTCACCGCGAGGCTGATGCGCTTGAGGCCCCAATCCGGTAATCTCATCTCCGTCGCCTCCGCCGTCGCTTGGTCGATGTACTGCCTGGCAGTCTTGGCCTGCGTCCACCGGCCGAGGTGCTGCGTCGCGTCGTAGCTCGTGAACCGGGTAAAGTGCCAGGTGGCGCCGCCTCGCCTCAAGCAGTACGGCGTGAAACGAGGTGAGCTCATCCCAAACATCCGGCCCAACCTGGCGATCTCTGCCGCGAAGCCGGCGTAGCCCAGATCCATGATTTTCTCGTCGTGCCCGGTGTCCTGGAGGATCGCGCCCGCAAGCTTGAGAACCAGGGGGTCGTAAAACGTGACCTGCTCAGACGCCCCGCTCCGTTTCGCGCCTTTGCTGTCTGGTAGTGCAAGCGTGAGGAGCGAGCCGCCGCCATAGAGGCGGAACTGCCGGGAGGTGGCACCAACGACCTCGCCGACGCGAAGCAGGCCAACGAAGGAGAGGAGGATGCAGAACGCCAGCCGGACCTTGCCCTCGATGAGCGCCGCCGCAGCCATGCTGAGGACGAGGTCACGAGTAGCTGGGATTGCCCGGCGTCTGGCCGTAACCCGGGCCCAGTTTTTGAGGTAAACCTCAGCTGTTCCCAAGTGCCGCCGGCATTTCGGGTAGTGGCGCTTGAATGCGCTGACCAGGTCGCTGGCCCAATACTGTGGCAGGTCGTCCAAATAGAGGTGGTTGATGTATTCCCCGACTTCCTCGTCCAACTCGTCCAGAGATCGCGGCCACGGCCGCCTGTGCGAAGAAATGAATTCGAAAAAGCGTGCAAGACTGTGTCGGTATCGTCGCGCTGTGACTGGTTGTATTCCCTCGTGCTTGATGTGCGCCTTCCGGGCGACCATTTTCGGCCGCCTCCTAGTGCTACTCATCATCGCAATGCAGCCGCCGACTGGCGGCGTCGCTGTGGTTCCAGGCGGAGATCGTCCAGAAGGTGAGCACATACGTGTTGGACGCGAGGGAGAATGCCGCAAAACGGCGACACAACCGATTCAAGATACGCGACGAAGAGCGCCCCTTCGCCACCACGCAACTGACGACCCGACTATCAAATATATGGAAAAAGCGTCTCTTGTGGAAGTCTTTGCTCCCAGCCTGCGCCCGCACGTAGTTCAAGAACGCTGCGAACTCTAGTGCGTTGATGTGCTGATGATGCTTCCAGCTGTAGCTTTGCACCGTCGCCCACTCCCAACAAAATGCCGGGTAGGGCACGTCCTGCCTGCAGCCGTCGAGGAGAGCCTGAGTGGAGAGCCTCACGTCCGACCCTCTGTAGTCGGCTTGCCGGAGCATCGCCTTCAAGTGGTCCTCCTCGAAGCCTCGGCGCATGGTAGACATCACCTTCAAAATCTTATCGATTACCTCGGGCTGCACCTCCGGGCCACGCAACCGGGCAGTGGCCTCGCCAAGGGCCCGCGCCAGCCACAAAGGCTGTTCTGAGGGCGCTGCAGGGAGCGTGGCGCCCTGAGCAGCAATGGCACCCTCAGCGGCCCATCCGGCCAGGAGGTCAGCCAGCTTCAAGGGGAAGTCTTCTGCGAACGCGCCCTGGCCCTTAGGAAGGCACATGCAAAATCCCTTGCCGAGGAGCGCGTCCAACTCCACGCTGTTGTGCAAGATCCGGAAGGGCGTGCCGATCTGCGAGCCAAAGCGGCACGTGCAAGAACACGAAGATAAGATTCCCTGCATTCCGGCCGCTCTCTCCACGCCGGGCTGCCGCCACAGCCAACTGCCAGACGGGTGCAAGATCAAGCAGAGTCTGCCTTCTGAACTTCGACTTTGGAGAGAATCGACTGCTGCCGCCACAGCGGCGTTCCAAGCGCGAAGACGCAAGAGCGTGCGCTGTGGTGCCCACGGCACTCCGGCTGGCCATGCAGGCTCTCGGAACCGGTCGTCTCGGTGATCGCACCCTCCAGGCAGCCAGGCTTCCAGAAAGCAACTGGCGCCCTTCTGGCACCGCGGCGGCGCTGGGCATGTACGAACCAAGACCCCCTTCGCGCGGATGGCGGTCGGCACGGCGGCGTCCGTCTCGAACCCGAACAGGGCCGCGTACGGCATCGTGAACATGCACTTCTGGCACCCGGTCTCCTCGTCGAAGTGCTGTCTGAGGCAGCCCTCAGAACACAGGGAAGCGCTGCACCGAGCAGGACAAGGAAACATGCGTGCCCTCGGTGCCCGACCGCATGCACTGCACCTCGTAGGCGTCTCGTCGTCGTAGCGTTTCTCCTCACCGTCCTCCTTCCTCTGGTCCTCGATGCCCATGCCGAGCTGCTCATTGAGATTCGCCGCCCTGTCTCCGCGCGCCTCGGCCGCGCCGGGGTCCAGGGCAGGGATCAGCGAGCGGGCCTCAGAAGCCCCCCCGCCTCTTTCCGAAGCGTCGCTCGAGCTGACGACGTTCCGGATCGATGCTCGCAGGTCGGTGAAGCAAAGCGGGAGCAAAGCCGAGGCGACAATGATCTCGTCGACGACCTGCGGCTCCGGCTCGAGGACGCCGCCCGGCGCGAGCTCGGCGGAGACCACGAAAGTGAAGAGCTCCTGGAGGACCGCGTAGGCTGGGCGCCGGAAGTTCGCTGCGAAGCAGTAGCCTCCGACCCAGTGCTGGGCCGCGGCGGCAGGCCAGGCAGAAAGACACGACAGAGCGAGCGCCTTCCCGATAAGAACGTGGCCCTTGGAACGCTCGACCGCCAACGTGCCCTCGATGCCATCGAGCTCGCCCCCGAGGATCTGCCCGGCGAGCCCCTTAATCAAACTCTTCCCCGCGTTCAATGGTAGCCCAAGAGCCGAGCATGCCTGGACGAAACGTTCGTGCTCCGCCGAACCCTCAAAATCGAGGCTCTGGATGTTGTCCCGGACCACGCGCACCCGCCGAAGGAAGTCGAATCCGTCCATGCAGACGATGCTGATGTCGCCCTCGGGCAAAGGCTCGTTCTTGAGCAGCTCCGTAGACGGAGAAACCCCGCACAGGTCGAAGACGAACCGGCGAGCCATGCATTGCATGAGGTCGACTGCGCCGAGCCACCCCATAGGGACGGCTCGCATGGCGACGTAAACCATCTCGCCCGGGTCCCCGCCGAAGGCCGAAGCGGGCACCTTCTTCTCGAAGGCGAAGTACCCAGCCCACGCGGCAGGCATCCGGAACAAGTTGAAGCAGCTCTGCATGTCCTCGGAGTCCAACGTGAGCACCTCGTCGTCGTCCAAAAGCACCAGGCCCAGCTGTCCGAGGTAAGGGAGCAGAGCGGCACCCCCCCGAAGAGGCCGAAAGAAGGCGTTCACCGGGCAGAACACGCAGATGAACCGAAGGAGCGTGACGACCGCCCCGTTCACCTCCTTCAGCTTGTCGACCCCCATAGCCCCGTTGAGGACTGGGACGCCGGCCGCATCCCGGAAGAGGTCCTCCTCCGCCACCTGCTCGAAGAGCCCCCTGGCGTGGCCAGCTTTGACCAGGGAGTACCACTCAGCGTCGGAGGCGTGGACCCGAGACTCGGGGGTGATCGCCGGCCACGCGCTCCGCGGAAGGAGGCACCGAGTGGGGTCGGCTAAGTCGTCCCGCAACTCCTCGGAAACGAAATCGATTACCGGGAATAAGCACGCCGCGCCCACTGCAGGCCAGCAGGGAAGGACTTTGTCACAGATGAGCTGGCGCCTCCTCGACACCACCTCCCCGTGGTACCCGAGCTTCCTGTGGAGCATGTCGTCCCTGGCAGCCCGCAGACCGTACGCCGCGGCAGGGATGTCCAGGAAGCGGCATACCGCCCCCCAGATATGATCGAGGGAGCAGCGCTGGGCAGCGCTCAGGAGAGGCGGCGCACGCGCGCACGTGGGCGCGCTGGACCACCCGGCGCATGCCAAGAAGTTGAGAGCGTCAACAACGAAGCAGGCCCAAGAGAGGCGCAAGCCGCCGGGACCTCGGCCAAGCGCCTGGCGGCCGCGCGAAGACGACGTTGTCGTAACGCCGGTGGCGGCGTCAGGAGGGCGCCAGGCGCCGCCGGGCGCCGTCGGGCGGTCCACGGGCGCTGTCGTAACGGCGGCGGCGTCGTCGGAAGGACGTCGGGCGCCGTCGGGCTCCGTCGGGCGGCCGCTGGGCGCTGTCGCACCGGCGCCGACGCGGGCGAGCTCGGCGAAGTACTTCGCTGCGAGGGCCGGGCACACAGGAAGCAGCTCGCGAAGTGAAGCCGTGGGCGGAGCGCCCGAAGCGCGGGCGGTGGAGTTGCCCTCTCCGCGGTCGCAGCCGGACCGAGCTGCCCCCATGGCCCGTGAGAACTCACCGAAGCGACCCGGCGAGAATCCCGCCCCGACGGCGAAGACGTGGAGCGCCTCGTAGGTGTTCGCCGCGTGCCCGCCTGCCTCGTCGAGCCAGCGCCTCCAGGAAGCCTCCCCGCAGGGAGGCGCTGAGCGGAGCGCCCGGGGGAGGAAGCCCAGGAGCTCGGCGAAGCCCTCGCTCAGCCTTGGTGCGGGGGTGCGCCCCAGCGGTCCTTGCCCCTGCCCCCCTTGTCCTTCTTGCTCTTGTCCTTGCCCTTGCCCTTGTCCTTGTCCTTGTCCTTGCCGCCCTTGCTGCTGCTGCTGGCGTAGTTGCTCCAGTCGTTCTCGTAGGAGCCGCCTTTGCCCCGGCCGTGCAGGCGCTGGTGGAGCTCCACCTCCTTCGTGGTCAGGTACTCCTCGCTCTTGCTCACGAGGTTGGTGCCCTCCTGGGGGACCAGCTCCAGGTACTGGGCCTTGTTCCAATCCCCCGTCGTCGACGCGAGCTCCAACGCTTTCAGACGCTGCGCCGCAACGTCTGCTGCAGCCTGCGTGCGGCCCAGGGCGAGGTGGTCCAGGATGACAGCCAGGGTGTGCATCTCCCGGACGTTGCGTAAGGAGCTGGTCTTCTCCGTCGTGGGGCGCAGCACGTGGATGAAGTAGCTCTTGGCGCTCGCCGGCGCGTCGTCCTTGTCCCAGCTCCTCGCCTCCCCGTCCCTGCCCACGGTGTCCTCCATGAGCTGGAGGAGCTGCGTGGCCAGACGCCCTGGGTGCCTCGCGGCCCAAGACACTAGGCGGTCCTGGGAGGGCCGCCCTCCGGACGAGGAGGCGTCGGGAAAAAGCGACGACGAGCAGGAGCGGCTCCTGTCGCGGCGGCCCCTGCGACTCCTGGAGCGAGAGTCCCGGCGCCGCCGGCGCTCTGGCTCGCGCGAGCGCCGCCTCTTCTTCTGGGCCCTCTCGTACTCCCGCGGGTCGCTGGCGAAGACGCGGCGGGCGGCCTTCCTCTCTGCGCCCCCGCGGTCCTCCCTCGTGTCCCTGTTGTTCCTGTCCTCGTTGCCGTACCTCCTGCCGTGGTCCGCGTCCTCCCTTGCCTCTCTGCTCCTGCCCTGCTCCTGCCGCTGCCTGCCGCGGCTGCGTCCCCGCGTCTGCGTCCTCTCGCGCCGGCCGAGGCTGCGGTCCCGCCGCCGGTCCCCGTCGCGCTGGCCGCGGTCTGCCGCGCGAGCCGCGCTGCGGGAGTGACCGTCGCGCCGAGGCCGCTGGAGCCGCCCCTCCGGGTCCTCTGCAAGGCTGGACCTGAGAGCGTCGAGGTCGCCAGCGACGCCGCCACCAGGTCCCTCGAGGAGGACCGGGCGCGCGGCCCTCGGGGCGCTCCTGCGGTCCGGAGGGGGCTCCAGCGGCGGCGGCAAGGGCGGCTCGCGGCTCGGAGTCCGGCCGCCGGCAGGAGGGGTAGCGGGAGCGCAGGCCACCTGAAGGTTCGCGATCTTCTCCAGCAAGCTCTCATGCGTGCGCCGAGGGACCCAGGAAGCTGCACTGAGGTCCGGCTCCCGGGTGTTGGTGTTCAGCAGCCTCCATTTGCGAACCGGGACAACCGGCGCGCGCTTGAACAACTTCTCCTCGTCGTCACCTTTCCCGGCAGCGTGCCGGTACAACCCCGGATTGGGGTGGCCACCCTTGGAGAACATCCACCATGAGTAATATTCGTTCTCCGCGGACAGCATGGTGGCCTCGAATAGGCGGGCCTTCCCGCCAGAGCCGGCGACGACCAATAAACCTTTGCCTTGGTCATTGTTATAATCGTCGCGGCATTGAATCTCGATGACGTCCCCTGGGTGCCATTCCGCCCGACTGGCGAAGTCTGCATCCAAGTCAGGGCTCACCCAGGGGCCAACTGCGCAGCCAATCGCCATGGCTGAAACAATCGGTACAGAGTGAGGCACAATGCATTCAAATGATCGCGTGTGCGAGTCTTGAGCCAAAATTGGCAACGGACCCGTCTGCTAGCCCGCCGGTGCGTGCGCGCGCGTGGAAGCGAAACAAAGCTTCCGGCCTCCGGCCAGGTCATAAGGTAAAGTGGACATTCGCGCGCGCAAGACGAAATCCTTCCAAAACCTTAGTTATCGTAGCGATTTTAACATAAAAACATCAAAACAACCAATGGTTTTTCCCAAAAAAATGTCAAAATTTCATCCCGCGCGCTCTTGCGGATTTGTAGGAAACCCAACACTGTTTAATCATTTCTGTCAAACGGGCTTTTGCGAGCAACTTTTTCACGTGCTTCGAACTTCTGCAACAACGGTTGCGCACCTGCCAGGGCCATCATCCCTGTCAAATAATACCATGCGGGACACATTCGTTTTTTCTTCGCGCGCGCACGCCGTCGTCGTCGGCCGCGGGGCCCTGAATAGTAGCCACGGTCGTCCGCATGCCACGAAGTGAAGTGTCCGAACGTCATAGGGCGGGAAGCTGGGTGTGGGTGGTGGCGAAGAGTCGTTTGGAAATTTGGTAGAGCTTGAACCGGCCCCCCCACAAAGTGGGGGTATTGCCCGCCTCCTATGAAAACCCTGGCACTGGTGAGAACGGTGTGTCCCCACGTGCTAGTAATTGTTGTTGTTGTTGTTGTTGTTGTTGTTGTTGTTGTTGTTGTTGTTGTTGTTGTTGTTGCTGCTGTTGTTGTTGTTGTTGCTGCTGTTGTTGTTGTTGTTGTTGTTGTTTGTCGTCGCCCCCCCCCGCGACCCACCCCGCGACCCACCCGCGACCCACTCGCGACCTGCCCGCGACCCACGCGCGACCCACCTGCGACCCAACCCGTCGCGACACGCCCCCGACCCACCCGCGACTCACCCGCGACCCACCCGCGACACGGTCCGCGACCTACCCGCGCCCCAAGCGCAACCCACCCGCGACCCACCCCGCGACCCACCCACATTGCTTTAACCGAAAAAACATCGCCTGCGGCGGGGCCACAGCATAATACGTAGCATCACGCATATGCGGATAAGAGTGAGGGGACGGTGGGGACGTCCGTAGTCTGCGAGACTCTGGAGAAGCCCGCCGCAGGCGCCAAAACTTCACATATTGTATAACGAGCCCGCCGCATGCGCCGTTTTTTTCTTCAAGCGGTTGGGTCGCGGGTGGGTCGCGAGGTGGGTCGCGGGGTGGGTCGCGGGGTGGGTCGCGGGGTGGGTCGCGGGTGGGTCGCGGAGGGGACGACGACAGCAAGCAACAACAACAACGCAACCAGCATAATCCTCACCACGCATTCTCGTTTCAGCCACGCACCCAGGGACAATGAATGACCGTTCGGCCCCGTTCCTCTGATATAAAAGTTTGGCGCCTGCGGCGGGCTTCTTCTGAGCCTCGCAGACTACCGACGTCTTGGCTGCCCCCTAACTCTTATCCGCAACAGCGGAATGCTATGTGTGTGTATATAGATACATGCATGCATACACATATACATACAGTAATTCCTTCATTCATCCATTTTACATATACATACATGCATACATGCATACATGCATGCATCTATCCATACATACATACATACAAACAAACAAACAAACAAACAAACAAACAAACAAACAATCACACACACAAGCAAACAAACAAACAAACAAACAAACAAACAAACAAACAAACAAACAAACAAACAAACAAACAACTATACATATATACATGCATACATATGTACGTGCACACACACACACACACACACACACACATGTGAGATCCCGGCCATGGGGGCCCGATGCGGCCCCCTCCGCCCTGGGGCGCTCTCCGGGCCGCCCTCCGAGGTTCCGAGACGGCTCAAGATTGCCCCCAAAGCGTGCAAGATAGCCTCCGGCGGGCAGTTGGGAATGTCCCAAGACGCTCCCAGCCTGCCCCATGAGCGCTTTAAAACGGCCGCACGTGACATCCCGACAGCCCACGAGACGCCCAAAGAACCCCAGGAAGCCCCTCAAGCAGCCTCGTGAGGCCCAAATCGTCCGATTCCCCAGGAGGCATGCATTTTCACCACGTTCACTTCCTCGGTATTTATTCGCCGCGTCACAGAAAGCCCAAGAAGCCCCAAAAGTCGCCCCAGGACGGCCCAAGAGGGCCCCGAGGAGGTCCCAAGACAGCCGAAGACGGCCCAAGATGGCCCCCAGACGGCCCAAGAGGCCCCCAAGACAGCCCAGGAGGGCCCCAGGAGAGCCCTAAGAAAGGCCCACGACGGGGAACCCGCCCTCCACCTCAAGATGACCGCCGAGGCCGCAGAGAAGCCCCCCCGAGGCCCCCAGGAGGCCCAGAAGAGGCCCCAAGGAGACTCCCAAGAGGCCCCAATGGGGCTTCAAAACTGATACTACAAAGCCTCATATTGCGAGATCCCGGCCCCAGGCCCTGGGGCGGCCACCTCCCTTGTACGACGGTGCCCCCCCGCCACGGGGCGCTCTCTGGGCCGCCTTCCGAGGCTCCGAGACGATTCAAAATCGCTCCCAAATCGTCCAAAAGATCCCCGATATGGCCCTGCGTGCTGGATAATGCGTTTTTGAGTGTCTCCGTTCCGCTGCCGTTTTTGGGCCGAACCCCAAAACTTTCAGACGGCTGTGTAATGTTCGGCCCGCTCGCCCAAGTCACCTCCGCTTCATTTGCAGGGAGCTGGCTGGGCGGTGTGGTTCGACCGTGCTCGTGCGAGTGCAGCTGCGCCTGTCAGATCAACTCGGACGAGGGGGCCTTGAAGCTGCTCGAGAGGCAGCTGGACCGCTGCGGCCCAGAGCACCTGTGCCCGAAGTGCCCGAGCTGCCCATCGTGGCCGGCGCCGACTCCTTGCCCGCCGCACTGGCCGACAGGGCTGGGCGGCTTTGTCGCGGGGGTGGCCTCGACCGTGGTGTTTGGCCTCTGCGTCAGGCGCTGCGGCTGCAGGGCGGGCGCGGCGACCCGGGCGGCGCGGGCGCCCTCGCAAGGCTCGGCGCTCGAGCTTGGGGACGCGCCCCACGCCCGGCCAGCCGCAGGCGCGGCCCCGCAGGCCCCGGCCCCGCCGTCGCCCGGAGCCGCCCTCGCGCCGGGCGGGCTCCGCGGGCGCGCGGCGCGCGGCGCGGGCGTGCTGACGTTGGGCTGAGGCGCTCGCCCGGTAGGGCAGCGCCATGGCGACGCTCCCGCCTGGCGCGTTCGCCTTCGTGCAGTATGACGATCCAGCCGACAATGGACTCTGGCACGAACGCTTGATCATGGGCTGGATCGCCGGGGCATGTGATGACTCCGGACGGGGACGTCTTCATAGAGCAGCTCGACTCCGCCACCGCGACCTCTCGGGAGTGCGGCTCTCGCCAGCGACAGGAGGCCTCCCTGCCGGGCTTGCAGGCGCGAGGCTCTACAGGTTCGCGGCCCAGCCCGTTGGCGCCGACCTGGCAGCCCTGCTTGCCGAGGGAGCCTCTCGCGCTCGCGTGGAGCGCCAGGCGAGGGGCCTGGCTCAGCCGCCTGGCGCGGGCGCGGCGGGCGGCCCTGGGGGCGTCGCCCCAGTCGTGGTTCCTGTGCCCCTGCCGGTGGCGCCGACACCGACCGCGCCAGGGGCCCCGTCGCCGCCGCCGCCCGGCCCGAGGCTGGCGCCAGCGGGCGGGTGCTGGGTCTTTGATGTGCCTGGGGCCATGCACGCAGTCGGGCAGGAGTTCATGTATCCCGCTGGGGCGCTGGACTTTGGGGGCCGGGTGTTCGTGACCGTCGGGGGTGACATCACAATTGGCTCCTTCGTCGCCGCCGACACGGACTTGAACGTGTGGGCTGCGGAGCGCCAGCTCTTCCTGATGCGGGGCGAGCCCCGCCCCCTGCCGCGCCGCCAGCCTGCTGAGCCTGTCCCCTTCACAACGGACGCCCTGCTGCTGGGCAAGGATGCTCGCACCGAGATCCGCCCGAAGGGGCCGCCCAGCATGGGCGACGCGGTGTCGGCGCTGCAGGCGCGGAGCCCTGGCGGCTTCATGGCCTCGCACGAGCGCTGGCTGGTGGAGAGCCGCGTGCCTGCGTCCAGTCGGTCGGCTCACGAGCACAGAGTGGCCTCGAAGACGCTGGAGCTGGCGCACGCTGTGGGCGGGGTCAATTTGGCGAATCTGACCAGCATGGAGTACCTCAACCGGCGGCGCCAGCTCCTTGAGGAGGCGCACAAGTCCGATCCAGATAAGCCGAACTTCGAGGGGGCCCACTACTTCCTGGGAGAGGATGACACAGGGTCAGGCACGCTGGTCGCCCCGAGCTTGCGCTCGCATGTCGCGGGCGAGTTCGCAAAGGATGCTGCTATCGAGAAGGAAAGACGGAAGGCGCGAGAAGCGCGGAAGCCACCCTCGAAGGGTGGCGCTAAAGAATGACCGACTTGAACCTCAACGGCGCCTCAGCTGGCGGCGCCGCTGCGGTTTGCAAAGACCAGCAAGTTTTTAGAGAGGGAGCGGCTCCACCGTGGGCCTGGCCGGACGCCCTGCCGCCCGGCGTCAAGTCGCCGCCGGGACTCGTGAGACCGCCAGGCTGCCTGAGCGACCTCTTCCCCCCCCCGCTGCTTGACAAGCTGGAGGCCGATTTTGGCGGCGCTGGGCGTGCCCGCTCTGGGCAGCGCCGGAGATGCATCCGTCGGGACGTGTTGAGTGATGTGAATGACTCGCTGAGGGGCCTCAATGCTTTGCACGGCTGCGAGCGCTCCTCGGTCAGCGTGCCCACCGAGGCGCAGAGACTGACGCAACGGAGGTTGCTCCGCAGTGCTCGCGCTGCCCGGCATGCTTTTCCTGACATATTTAATATGAGTCCCCGTGAAGCTGCAAGTGAGCTTCTGGGATCGCGCCTAGATTACCAGGGCTCGGTGACTTCGGTTGTCCCGCATTGCGCCGACGCCCTCTCGTTGCCCCCATGCAGGACGTCAGCCCGGTAGTCTTCGAGGCGTCCTTGACTCGGA